TGCGCCGGCATCAATGAGCCCGGGGGCCGCTGCCGCGAGCTCGCGCCCGTCGACTACATCTTCCTCTTCGATTCCCGCTTCGGCCGCTACGTGTTCCCTACCCCCGTTCTCATGTGTTCCTGCCAATTGGGGCATCTACGTCGCCTGCGCCTCCCGGTCCGACGTCCGCTCCCGCAGTTTTGACAAATTTTGAGGTTGGTTTCTCCGTGGATTCACCGCCTTCGCTTTCACGGATCGGGGCGCCCAGCCTCGACGGCCAGATTGGCGCGGCGAGCGAGCGCAGAAAGGTGGGCAACCCAGCGGGCGACAGGCGCTGTCGCGACCGTTGTACTCCTGCGAGGGCACAACCCGCATGGTCGCCGTCGAGACGTTGGCCGGCTCCGCCAATCTAACAGCGAAGTTGGTGCTCCAAGGTTTTGACGCTATTGGAGTCGATCGCAAGGCCAACCGACATGTCCCGAACGCTGGCGTTCTACCGATCGGCCTGAGCACCCCGTCTGGAGCCCAGTTGTTATTCGCGGTGATTTCCGACACGGCGGTCGTGCATGTTGATTTTTAGCGCCCCTCCGACGCGCTCAGCAGGGCCCGCGAGCGTCCGCTGCCCGCCTGGGCCCAGGCGCAAGGGGCGCCGTGCCCTCGCCCACTCCGCAGCATGGAGCACCCCCGGGGTCTGCCAGGAGCACTTCGATCGAGGAGCTGAGGCGCCGCGGTTTCTATTGGCGCGCGCGTAGATCAGAGTCGCGCGTGCAACCATCAGCGCATGCCGCCAGCGGCAGATCCTATACTCTGTCGACAAACCCCTTCAACAGCATCCTGTGGGCCATTCTTGGCATCCGGGACCTGCGGATCGCGGGCGGCGCCGCGACGACCAGTTTCCAGGTCTGCGCGCACGGCGGCACGAGGGACAAGTGGATATAATTAGTGGCCAAATTCAGGGACATCAGCGCTCTGGCAGCGGTCTGCCCTAAGAACCACAAGCGCGCTCCGTGGGGGCCAGCCTACCGAAGACGCGCGTTCGCTAATTTTCATGCCGCCCAGGAGGCCGAGCAGCCCGATTTATCGCGCAAGAGATGGGCAGCCGCGGCCGCGCCGGCGGCAGCCGCGAGGGGTCTTCGAGCGCGCGCGCCCACCCTCGTGGACAACGTTATCGCGGCTTCTTCTGCGAAGGGGAGCGGTGCGACGCCGAGGCCAGATCTGGCCGCCAGCTCGGGCGTCAAGGCATTCACCTCCGACCAGGCTCGCCGGGGCCGCTTCCAGCATATCTCAGAGTGCAAGACGGCAGTCGTCGTCCGCGCCGACGCCGCGCGCGACCAGATATGGCTCGCCGCCAACAAGGGCCCCATTCAGAAGAAGAAGAAGAAAAAGGAGGAAAACAAATAAAAAACCTTGGCTGGGCGCCGCCTCCCCCGAGGCGCAAAGTTTTTTTCGGGTTCGTAGATTGACCGCGGCCGGGGCGAATTTCGGGAACCTGGGTGGCGCCGAGGACGCTCCGCGACAAGGCGTGGCAGCGCCGTCGTCGTGCAGGTTGGCACCCCAATGGGCCCCCTACAAGCTCTTCCAGAGGTCCAAGGAGATAGATCCTCCCAGAGACCGCATGGGGCGCCCTACCACATCGCCTGCGTGCGCCCGCGTTCAGGATCCTCACGCTGGGCGCGAACGAGATCATCAGGAGCCGACAGGAGCGACTTGACTACTGGAGAGGCCGCGCGGTCGAATTGGACGAGGCTGAGGCAGCCCTTCACGCCCAGGCGCGCGCCGAGGTCCGACCGTTTCTCGTCGGCAAACGCTTTCTCCTCCTCGCGGAGGCGTTGGAGACCGTCGGATTCCCGCCCCCGCGGCAAGTTGTTCGGTGAGGTCGCTGCTGGCGTCGAGCTTTTTGGCGAGTGCCCGGCCACGGGCGTGCTCCCGCCCAAGCAGACCGAGGCGGCCACCTTCTTCGATGACCTCTTCCGCACAGCCCGCTGGGTGCAGACGAGGGCCCTTGCTGCGACCCGGCCATCGGGTGACCCAGGAATTGACGACGTCATCTTCGAGAAGACTCAGGCCGAGTGCGAGGCCGGGTAGGCGGTGGGCCCATTGTCGAAGGAGCACCTGGACAAGGCGCATGGCCCCTTGTGGGTCCAGCGAGGATGTTCGGAGTCCGATTACAGACCAATCGACGATTTCTCCGAGTTCGGGCACGACGGACCTCCGCGACGTCCGAGAAGATCGACCCTGGAGGCGTGGACGAGATCTCGGCTACGGCCAGGGCCCTGTTGTCGTCGGTTGATGGGGCTACTGGCAGGGTTGAGCTGAAGCCGAGAGACGGGCCGCCTATGGTGGGCCTTGTGCACCTCAGCTGGACGCCCGAATATTTGCACTGCCTTGCTGGACGTTCGTCCGACCTCTGGAAGGCGTTCAAGCAGCTTGCCCGCCGGCCGTCCTTCGCCGCCTTCTCCATCGTCGCTGCCTGGAACCCGAGGTCTAAGGCCTCAGATCTGCACGAGCTGAGAGCTTGCCTGTTCGGGGCACGGAACGTTGCATGGAGATTCAATGGGTTCGCCCTGGTTTGCAGTGGGTTATGTACTACATATTCGATCTCGTGGTGACGCATTATTTCGATGATTTTCCGTTGGTTGAGCCAGCGTTGCTGGCGACTTCGGCGGAGGTTACCGCCAAGGCTTTCATGGGCCTCTTGGGTGGCGGCTTAAGGGGGGCGACGGGAAGGATTTGCCTTTCGACGCGTCGTTTTCCACGTTGGGGGTCGTCTTCGATTTCGCCAGGGCCTCCCATGGACGTCTCGTTCGCCGCGAAGAACAAGCGGGCCCGCGTCCCCGAGATCCCCCAGGACCTCCGCGAGGCGCAGGTGTCTGGATTGCGCCCAGGCCTTGCTGCCAGTCTGCTGGGTCGCCCCAGGCACGCCGGCTCCGAACTGTTCGGCAGGGCTGGCGCCGCGAGCATGAAACTCCTGTCCTCCATGGCCGCGCGCGGAGGCATCCAGTGCGACCAGCGCGCGCTCCGGGGCGCCCCCGCCTTCTGGGAGTTTTTCTTCGCGCGCTCGAAGGACAGGGCCGTGAGGGCCAAGTTCGAGGCTCCAGTAGTGGTCTTCTCTGGCGGCGCCGTTAAGAGCACGGAGTGCGAGGGCGTCGCCGTCGGCGCGGCCATCTGGGCCGAGGGGCGACTTCTTGGAGTTCTTCGGGCGCGTGGTGCCCCGTGCGTGAACGGACGGGTTGGGGGCTGGAAGCGCGGACCTGGCGATCGCCCAGGCCGAGCTCTACCCAGCGCTCGTCGCGCGCCACGCTTGTGAGCAGACGATTACAGGACGGCCAGTCATCCAGTTCATCGACAACGAGTCGGCTCGCATGGGCCTCCTGCGAGGATACTCCCCAGTGTTGGCGTCGGCGGAGCTCATCGGCATGATTTAACAGGAGGATATTCGTCTTGAGGTTTATTCGTGGTATGGTCGGGTTTCTAGTGCGTCGACTCCGGGAGACTTCGCCATCGCGGATGGACTGGAGTTTGCTGGAGTCATGGGGCGGTGTCCAGTATAGCCCGCGCCTGGCGCCACCTCCGGATGAGTAGGGTGGCTGGCGTGGCACCAAGCGCGGCTCTTGACCGTCGCGCGGTTTCATGAGGATTGCGACCCGCACCAACCCCACTGTTGAGAGAAATGCGATCGTCAAATGCGTGGCAGCATGGGTTCATGCATCGTTGCTCTCATGATGTCTCTGGTTTTCTCCGTTGGTTTATACGTCCGCACACCCCCCAGAACCGAAGGGGGGGATCGTTGCAAGCAGTCTGAGGCGCAGCAGGGGAGATGCGAGGCTTCACTCTTGACAGATGCTGCCCGGTGGCCGCCTGGCTCAGGGCGTTCTGGGGCCTTCTTGGAGGCATCCTGGGGCCCTCTTGATCTGTCTTCTGGCGATCTGAGCATCTTCGCGGGCGGTCGCGGACTGTCGGGGACCTGGAGAGGCGAGAGCGCGAAAATCTTTTCAAAATCATTCGGGGTTCAGTGGTTGTTGCCTCTCGGAGCCCTGGCCAGGGGCTTCTCAGAGTCCTCTTGAGGCGTCTTGGGGGCCTCCTGGGCCATCTTGAGGCTATATTCGGTGTCTTGGGTTGGTGTTGGGCCATTTCGGGGCGTTCATGGAGCGTCAGGAGGACCTCATAGGGCCTTATTTGAGGTTCTGGGGGTCGTATGGGGTTGGCTCAGAGTGCGTGGAGCTCACGCGACATACCCTAGGAATTCCCAGGAACGCCTGGGAAAGTGGAGGCTGGGTTTTTCGATACTCTTGAAATCAATCCCGTGAACATGGGAAATTTGTACATGAGCCACGATGAGCCTTGGAACCACTACGTTCTCCAGGCACGGTGGCGGGTTGTTTACGCGCGAAGACTCCGCCAGCCTTGTGTTCGAACATCTTCGTTTGCCGTCTACACGATCGAAAACACGTATTCAATGCAAGTGTGCGAGACGCACGTTCTATCACCGCGTCCAGAGACGCCCTTGTCCGGATGAGACATCAGCCTGTTGCATGTTCGAGATCCCTCTCTTGGCACAGACACATGGTGTTAAAACGGTTGCCAAATGCACACGTTCCAGACGGATGCTCGACCATGTCCGTCGGGCACGTATTTTTGAATGGTCAATTTGGCAGTCGCATGCCCGCCTACGCACGCAGACGCATGTTCGATACTCTGCTCGGGCACGTAGCTTTCCGTGCGAAAAATCCGCTGGCCGCGTGTTCGATATCCGCCATTGGTGTCGCACGGGACAGCGCGCGCCAAACGCACGCGTGGCAGACGTATGTTCGATACGCTCTCTGCACGTGTTAGAAGTCTGGCGCCCAGCGCCCCCTATGTTACAGCTCTTTGGTCTGGGGCCGAAGACCCGACGGACAGAGCGAGCCCTGGGCCAGAACCCTTGACGAGAAAAGAAGCAAGAAGCCAGAGAACCTCGACCTTCGATCTTCGATCCTCCGTCTTCGATTTACTCCAGCCCAATCTGGGCGGTCTGTCTCCAGGTACACGCAGCGTCAACTACGGCTCCCGGGTGGCGTCCTCGTTGCTGTACTGCGCGGTGGCCGATGATGGCGGCGGAACTGTATTTCCACCAGACGGGCTGAAGATCGAGCCGACGGTGGGCACGATGCTTTTGGAAACACGTTCGAAGAGAAACAAGTTGCATTAGCATAAGGTTCCGGAGGTCCGCGCGGACCCCCGAAAGTTGATGTTCATGCAGTTGTTTGTTCATCTGGGTGCCGGGGGCGTCCAAGAGGGGGGTGAAGACTAGGCGCGGTTGCATAGCACGGCCAGGATCATGATATCCCCAAGATATTGTGGCCCCCTCTTCTTTCAACACGCTCCCCTGGAGCCCCCTTGTTCGCGCACATGCCTCGGGCCATGGTACTCTGACGTCCCTCTTCCTGGACCCCTCTTCGGCGCACCCGATCTATCGACAGGTGGGATAAGCTCAGGCGGGAATGCATCGCCCGCCAATCGCTCACTCCTCGCTGATAGGGGCATGATACCTTACCCCGCCCGATTGGAGCCTGATAGAGGCCTATCCTGGACCGATGGCGACTTCCAGGTCGGTGGTTCCCCCCTCCAAGCCGGTATGCCCCCTTTTGTTCCCCCTCTGAGCAGGTGGGCATGTTGCTTCTGTTCACGTACAACCCCGATCCGGACGGCCTCTCGCGGCACGCCGCCTGCCCCGTGCTCCGCGGGGAGAAGATGACGGCCACCCAGTGGTGCTCGGCGTCGCGCAGAGGAGAAGGAGGAGGAGGAGCAGGAGGAGGAGGAGGAGGAGGAGGAGGAGGAGGAGGAGGAGCAGGATCAGGAGGAGAAGGAGGAGGAGGAGGAGGAGGCACCCTGCTGCTTCTCACGGTGGAAGGAGGAGGAGGAGGAGGAGGAGGAGGAGGAGGAGGAGGAGGTGGAGTTGGAGGAGGAGGAGGAGGAGGAGGAGGAGGAGGAGGAGGAGGGGCGTCGGAGGGGGCGTGCTCGGGGGGTCCCAAGGAGGGGGGGGGCGAGGGCCAGGGGAGGCTCGCGTCGTGTCGATGCGGCGGCGGCTCCGCCGACGGCCTGCAGGGTCAGTGGCCCGAGTGGGCCGGCATGGAGCGATCTGGCGACCGGAAGGCCGCCGATCGTTCAGCGTGGTACTGTCCGCGCGGCGTCAGAAAAACCAACGCCCGGGTCGTCACGACAGAGCTGCCAGGAATAGAGGGTGGATCTCATGGTCGGGGATGGCCCGTCTTCTGTCCAGACGTCCCCTATGGCCCCCCCCTCGCCCGGCGCACACGCCTCGGGCCAGGATGCGCACCCTCTCCCCCCTTTTCCTTCCTGGCCCCCTCTCCGGCCTACCCGAGCGTGGGAGGGTCGGCCCTGTGAGAAGGCAGGGGGCCTCTTGGAGCGGGGCCTGCCTCTGCGGACACATGGGGCAGCGGACAGCATCACAGCGGAGGGCTTTTCGCAATGTTCTGCCCCCGGAGGGCCTGGGCCGTGAAAAAACACCACTCGGGATGACAAGCCGATCAGGGCCCTTGGGCAGAAGTGGTCTGGACCCGGGGGGGTTTCACGCTGTGTGCAAGATGCGACGGCGGAGGTCCGAGTTGTGACAAGCCTTGCGAGAAATCTCTGACAGTTGGGGGGTACTTTCTCAGAAGCCCCCCCGCGCCGGCCTTCTCTCGGCGGCGAGCCCGGGGAGAAGTGAAAGGGAGGCGGCGGCGCTTCTTAGAAGCCCTTCCGCCTTCTCAGAAGTTTTCTCTGTATTCGGAGAAGGCTGAGAACATTTCTCAGACGGCCCAGGGCCTTCCGAGCCTTCTGAAAAGGCCCGCCCCTTCTCCCTTCCCCCCTGGGCTCGCCTTCGATCAGAAGCCCCCCTGGCCTTCTCAGAAGGCCGCCGCAGCCCCCCTGCCGCGGGCCACCGAGGTACCGGGAGGGGGTCACCGCGAAGCACGACTGGGAGTTCGCTGCGAAGGGTGGCAGGTTTCAGGAGCGCAAAGAGAAAGTACACGTACGTGAATCCAGTTTGGCTTCGAAAGTACGCGTTGCGCGAACGTTCATACCACGAGGCTGGTCTCGCGGATTGGGGGGGCCGTATTCACGTACGCGGTCGGGCGCGTACGTCTTGTGTGGGCTCCCCAAGGTTGCCACGGCGGAAAAAGCAGCGGAGTTCGCCGCGAAGAAAACGGGAGCGTCAGGAGGTCTGAGCAGCGGCCGCGAGGTCGCCTGAACTCCGCCACCACGCGGCCAGAGCGGAGAGCTCAGACCAGGAGCAGCCCCACAAACGCCGCGAGGGAGCAAGACTGCATCGAGCCCAGTCGGCCTCGTTTTCGGCCTCGTCGTCCTCGTCCTCGTCCTCCTGTTTGTTTCTGTCTCTTTCCCTTTCCCGCTCCCGTTACGCTCCCCCTGCCCTGCTCTCCCCCTCTGTCCAGGCTCGCTCTTCCCTCCCCTCCCTTCCCCTCCCCTCCCCTCTGTCCAGGCTCAAGCCATTTTGGCTCAAGAAGGGGGCTCAATTCCGTGGCTCCAACCCGTGGATCAAGGGGATGACATACCATTGAACCCACACTGTGACGGCTGCGGCTGCTGGCCGCGGCTGCCGGCTGTCGGCTGTTGTGGACTCCGTCCTCCAGCGGCTGGCGGCTGGCGGCTGTGGCTAGGCGGCTGCGGCTGTTAGCAGATCCTCCAGAAAGCCGCCGAGCCATGGTCGGCAATGGCGGAAAGTTGCAGTGGGTGCAGATGCAGAAAGAACAGATGATGGCGGCGACTGTGGGATCACGGAGCTCCGACAGACAATCGAGTCATTGCAGAGTATAATGAATAAGCTCGAAGAGGAAGCTCACTTGTATCATGAAACACTGGACGAGGTACGTAGACATGCCAGAGAGACTGAAGACCGCGCACAGCAGCATCGAGGAGATCGTGGACGTATCGGGCAAGCTGCACAGGCTTGAGCAGTCGTTCTTCAGGTACGGTTTCGAGGAGTTCGAGAGGCTCGACCGCATCACAACTGGCGAGCCAGGCATGGAGGCTGCACACCGGAAAGAACCACACCTCTCCAGGCACATGAGCAAGAGTTCATCGACATCTCGCAGGCTCCGTTTCGATATAAGTCCAGACCGACATGCCTGTCGTGATACATCTCTCATCATGCAGGGAGCTACGACCACTACTCAAGCTAATTGCACTTGCATGTGTAGGGAAGCGGATCTCGACGACGAATCGGATATGGAACTTTTCGAGCTTGCAGACACTTTCCAACCAGGCGACGTGATATGCAACATCCATCATTCATGAGTTTCTCTCGTACGACAGTGTACGCATATGGTTGAAGAGGGATGCAAAAGGGGCAGGCCATAGAGATCGACGGCGATGGCGACATGAGAGTGCGATTTCCCAGCTTGGCTGTCGAGTTGTACGACGTGACGCGGTGGATGCACAGCTCCGACTTCTGGAACTTACATGTGAAGCCGCACAGGCAGGCGTCTTCCCAGACACGCTGAAAATATTGAGTGGGTCACGCAATCCATGCTTTCCAACGCTGTGCATAGTCATAGTCATCTCGAATATCGCACGAGCTATATCACCAGCGTGTTCGGTCTAACATGTGATTCGCGACTCCTTGTTTCTCGTGTCTGCTATCCCTGTCTGCCGCCCATTGTGCTTCTTCCCTGTCTTCTTGCATCCGCTCTGATCGAATAATAGTTTCTGGTGGTACGGCGCCCCCGCCAGGCTCTTACAGGGCCGCCCTCGGGGACGATTGTCCGTCGCCTCGCCTCGCCTCGCCCAGGCCCCCCCCCCCTATTTCCATCCCTTGCCCGCCCTCCTCCCTTCTCCTTCCTTCCTCTCGCATCCCTCCTCCACGGGCTGCGGCGGCCGCCGCCCCGGCCCCCCAAGTGCGTCATAGGTTGCGCCATAAGTTGCGCCATGGGGTGCGCCGAGTTCACGCCACAGTTTGCCGTAGACGGCGCTGTTGGTCGTCGTCGTCGTCGTTGCGGGCGGGGGGAGTGGGCGGAAGGAGAAAGTCAATGGCGGAGAAGGGTGAGAGACGAAGAAGTGGAGGAGGAGGAGGAGGAGGAGGAGGAGGAGATTGAGCCCTGGGCGAGGGGTCGTGTCATACGTTGCGCCACAGGCTGCGCCGTGTGCCGCCGAAGCCTAACAGCAGCCTGCAGTGGCCTTAGTGGTTATGATTTGGTTGTCCTTCTCGATCCCCCTCCCCCATCCCCCTTCCCTTTCCCCACCCTTCTTTCCCCTTTTCCTCCTGCTCCTCCTCCTCCTTCTCCTCCTCCTTCTCCCCCTCCTCCTCCTCCTCCTCCTCCTCCTCCTTCTCCTCCTCCTCCCCCTCCTCCTCCTCCTCCTCCTCCTCCTCATCCTCCCTTTCCTCCTCCTCCTCCTCCTCCTCCTCCTCCTCCTCCTCCTCCTCCCCCTCCTCCTCATCCTCCTCCCGAAGGCAACCTCAGATGGATATCGGCAGTGCGCCGAGAAGGAAGGGAGAGGGGGTTGGTAAGCATTGGTGTCTCAACATGTAGCTCGTCCCCCCTCCTGCTTCCTTCCCAGGCCACTTAAGCACACACCCCTCTCCTCGCTCGGTCTAGAATGCCGCGAGCGCGCTAGCGTGACAAGACGAAAAGAAGGCATTCGGATATGTGTGTGCTTGTTTTAGCAGCTCATTGAGCCCGCAGAGCGGGAGTCACGGCGGGCCCCCAGAGGGCCAGAGGGAGACACGTGCGCCGATGTTGCAGTCGGTGGGCGTTCGGGGCACGGCTTCGACGAGGTCGGTTCCAGTCGTTGCAATTGTTCTCAAGGCCGTCTTGGTGTCCCTTCGGGGGGAGGCGGTCTTCGGAGCCAGCAGAGGGCCTTTGGAGGTCCTTGAGCCAGGAAGTGCGTGAGGGGTGTACCGAATCGAAGCTCCCCTGAACCGTCTGAGGGACCTACGCAGCCGATTCGTCGTGGACCCTCTCGTCGGTTCCAGGCCGAAAGGTCCTTCGACGTTGCTGTCGCCGTCTGCAGCCGCCCCAGCGCAAGCCAGCCTTCCCGGCCAGATGACCCCGGGCCGCCCCCTGGAGCGTGGCCCGGACATGCTCCGCTCGCGGCCGGCCGCCGGATAAGGCTTGGGTGTTGCTATTATGTCGTGCCCTTCCTCCCTGCTTCCTCCCGCCCCCCCCCTCCTCATCCTTCTCCCTCTCCTACCCCCCCCTCCCCTCTTCTCCCCCTCCCCTCTTCTCCCCCTCCCTTCCTCCCTCCCCCTCCCTGCTTCCTCCCGCCCTCTTTCCGTTTCTCCGCCCTCCCCCACTAAGGGCCTCCCAGGTGGGGCAGGATCAGCTGGGAGGGCTCCCCACATCGGGCAGGGGGGTCACTTAGGAGGGCCGCCCACAAAGGGGTGCGCCACCCGGGAGTTCTCTCGGGAGGGCCTCCCAGGTTCAGCGTGGTCATTCTCCTTTCCGTCCCCATTCGTCGACGGAATTCGAACCCCACCCTCGCCGATCCACGATTCAGACAATTCGATGGGCGGCGGGGGTAGGGTTCGGATGTCGCGTATTCATCCTCACCCCTCATCTCGATGCTGCGCCTCCCTCCTCCCCCTCCCCCCGCCCTGCGAGCCCCGCGGGGGGAACGTATCGAGGGGCAACGTTAACGGGGGGAGAGACTCAGGGGGAATGCGTCGACCTCCGATGGCCCATGCATCGCTGACAGCCGAGGAAACGCATGCATGGATTAATCAAGGCGCGTGGATTGGCGACGATCGACGCGCTCCGTCCCCGAGTGAGGCGGCACTGGCTTCGCTTATCGGGGACGGACCCGTGATCCATGTTGGCGTGAACCCGAGATACAGTCGGACCGGACTAGTAGGTCGACCCTGCCAGCTCAAGGGTACCCTTGTGTCCTGTGCCTCGCGACACGTGCCTTCTCAGACTCCTATGGCGATGTGGCCCTCGGAAGGGTCCTGTGTCCTCTCGCGTGTCCTGTCCAATCAAGGCCGACTGTAGGGGTCTGCTGGCCAACCCCGCCCAGGCGCTTACGGTTTTGCTATCAGGGGCGCGTCCCCGATCCATCGGCGCAGTGTCGTTGACTGAAGCTGGATGTTCCCCTCAGAGCTGGCCCACCCCGATCGGTCTCCCGCAGAGGACAGGGAGGAGGTCGGGTCGAGAACAAGGACCAGAGCAAAATCCAAGATGTACCAGCGATGCTGCAATACACCCTCCCGTCCCAGGTTGGAGCCGCCTGGGGGTCTGAGGTGGCCCGGCATCCGTTTTTGGCCAGCAGGAAACGCGGCGGGCTCGAGGTTCTGTGTTCGGGAAATCTTTGTTGCCTTTGCCCGGCTTCCGGGTGCTGTTTTCGGGCCCCAGGAACGTCAAACATTGATCCGGAGTGCAAAAGTTCACCAGGTGGACCCTAGGAGGGGTCCATGGACCGCGTTTGAGCGGATTTGGCCTTATCCCCTCCTACTGACCGAAATTTTGTTTGGGCCCCGACCAGTTCACACCCCCCAGCCGCCTCCAAGCCGCAGTCGTTGCAACATTCCTCTTCCCTGCGCGCGGCGCGCCCGTCCAACGGCAGGCGCGCCACGGGTCCGCAGTGCAGGCGGGGGCGCCATCTTCAATGGAATGAAGCTGCCCTCTGTTTCTCGAGCGACAAGGTGGGGTCGACAGGTTCAGCGCAGTGCCCAGCGAGAGGCCCGCTTCGGAGGGGAATCACCCACCATCCATGCAATTGCTGCTCATCCAGCCCAGCGGTGTGTCAAAGGAGAGCCTCGTTTCGAGAAAGAACCGCCTTCCATCCGTGTCATGCTTTTGTTTTGAATGTACGATGACCAAGACAGTTTCAGGCGATAGCCCCACTTTGAAAACGACTCGCTATCCGTAGGGGCTTCGCCCCCTGCCGCCGGCCCCCTTTCTATCATAATGGAATATAACAGAGTCGCGTCGGTGCGTCTCGGCGCTGCCTTGGCGCATCTGGGAACAGCATGCGGAGCATGCGGGGGCGGACAGGAGTCATCAGCGCATATTGAAACGTTGGCGTTATCTAAGACGCCTACGGCGAATCACCGCCGCCCCCCGCCTTCTAGACCATGTGGCCGAGCGTTATGGCAAAAGCTCTGCCAAGGTGTCGGGCCATATGCTCCCCCGACCGTTGTGGGAACCCTTCGGGAAACAATTTGGGGAGGATGGCGGGGAAGATCAAGAAGAGGCGGAGGAGGAGATGGAGGGCCAGGAGGAGGAGGAGGAGGGTGCATCTTGGGAGTCTCTGGGGACATTCTTGGGGCCTTTTGGGAGCTTCCTGGGAGCCTCTTGGACCGTTGGAGGCTTCTCGGGGGCCTCTTTGGCCGTCTTGGGGGCCTCTCTGGGCCGTCTTGTGACCCTCTTGGAGTGCTCCAGGGCAGTCTTGGAGGCCATTTTTGGCGTCTTGGAGGACTCTTGGGCAGTCTTGAGGGCCTCTTGAGGCCGTCTCGGGGGCCTCTTCATCTGTTCTGGGGCCATATTGGAGACCTGGGCGATCTTTGGGTACTCTTGGGTCGTCTCAGGCCGTCGGAAGGCCGAACAAACAGCAAACGCCACAATCCTTCAACAACTTGTTGGGAAAATATGATTTGGGCCTTTTCGGGCCTTTCTGGAGGCCCTCTTGGAGGCCGTCCTGGGCCGTCTTCTGCCATCTTAGGGCCATCTTCGGCCGTCTTGGTGGGCTCCTGGCCCGTCTGACGCCGTCGGAAGCCGTTTGGGGGGCCTCTCTGGGCCGACTCGGGGCCATCTTGGAATGCTTCAGGGCCCTCTTGGAGGCCAATCTGGGCGTCTTAGAGGCATCCTGGGCCGTCTTGGGGGCCTCTTGGGGCCGTCTTGGGGGCCCTCTTGGGCCGTTCTGGGGCCATCTTGGAGGCCTCTTGGGCGATCTTGGGGCGATCGTTGGGGGCTCTTGGGCCGTCTCGCGTCGTCGGAGGCAGAAAAACCAGCAAATGTCACAATTCCTCAAACACGTTTGGGAAATCAATGATTTCGGTCTCTTCTGGCCGTCCTGCAGGCCTTCGTGGAGGCCTCTTGCGCCGTCTTGGGCCAGCTTCGAGCCAACTTCGGCCATCTTGGTGGGCTCCTGGCCCGTCTGACGCCGTCGGAAGCCGTCTTGGGGGGCCTCTCTGGACCGACTCGGGGCCATCTTGGAATGCTCCAGGGCCCTCTTGGAGGCCAATCTGGGCGTCTTAGAGGCCTCCTGGGCCGTCTTGGGGGCCTTTTGGGGCCTCTGGGAGCTTCCTGGGAGCCTCTTGGACCGTTGGATGCTTCTCGGGTGCCTCTTTGGCCGTCTTGGGGGCCTCTCTGGGCCGACTTGGGGCACTCTTGGGGTGCTCCTTGGCCGTCTTAGAGGCCATATTGAGCGTCTTGGAGGACTCTTGGGTCGTCTTTGTGCCCTCTTGGGGGCCTCTTGGTCAGTCCTGAGGCCATCTTGAAGGCCTCTTGGGCGCTCTGGGGGCGATCTTGGGGGCCTCTTTGGCCGTCTTGGGTCGTCGGAAGGCCGAAAAAGAGCAAATATATACGACAAACCTTTCAAACCTAAGAACAATCAATGACAATCAATGATTTTAGCCTCTTCGAACCTAATGGAGGACCTCTCCGAGGCCTCTTGGGCCGCGGCCTCATGGGCACCTCTTGGGCCGTCTTGGAGGTTTCTTGTTCGGACTTGGAGGCATCTTGGACTCTCTTGGGCCGTCTTGGAGGCCATCTTGGACCATCTTGGGCGAACTTGGAGGCCATCTTGGCCATCTTGGAAGCCATCTTGGGCCATCTGGGAGCCATCTGGAGCAGGACAACCTTCGAGAACCGGCCTTTCCGGGCCATTCCGGGACCCTGGCGGGCTGGGTTGGCGCCCCAGGGCGAGTTCTTTGGGAAAAAGAGCCAAAACCAAAACCGAAAGGATTCAGCACGCCGGGCACCCTTGTGATGAATCAACAGGCGGCGGCGGATCGAAGACGCCTACGGCGAATCACCGCTGCCCCCTGCCTTTTTGGAAGCGCCTATGTGGCCGAACGTTGAGGCCAGACCTGCCAAGCTATCGGACCATGCGTTCCCCGATTCGGTTTGGAAAGCCTTCGGGGAACACGTGGGCATCTTGAAGGTCATCTTGGCCGTCTGGAGGCCATTTTGACCCTTTCGGGCCTTCTTGGAGGACGTTTTGGAGGGCTCTTGGGCCGTCTTGGAGGCCATCTTGAGCGTCTTGGAGACCTCTTGAGCCGTCTTGGGGGCCTCTTGGGGCCGTGTCTTGGGCCTCTTGGGCGATCTTTGGGGGCACTTGGGCTTTCTCGGGCCGTCGGAAGGCAGAACAAAAACACAAATGCCACAATCCTTCGAAAACTCAAGAGAAATCAATGATTTTGGCATTTTCGGGCCTCCCTGGAGGCCCTCTTGGAGGCCTCTTGGGCCGTCTTGGGCCATCTTAGGGCCATGTTCGGCCGTCTTGGTGGGCTCCTGGTCCGTCTGACGTCGTCGGCAGCCGTTTGGCGGGCCTCCTGTGCCGTCTTGGGGGCCTCTTGGAATGTTCCAGGGCCGTCTTGGAGGCCATCTTGGGCGTCTTAAAGGCCTCCTGTGCCGTCTTGGGGGCCTCTTGGGGCCGTCTTGGGGCCCTCTTGGGCCGTTCTGGGGCCATCTTGGAGGCCTCTTGGGCGATCTTTCGGTGATCGTTGGGGGCTCTTGGGCCGTCTCGGGCCGTCGGAAGGCCGAAAAGAAGCAAATGTCACAATCCGTAAAACACATCAGGAACATCAAGGTTTTGAGCCTTTCCTGGCCTTCCTGGAGGCCCTCTTGGGGGCCTCTTGGGCCGTCTTGGGCAAGCTTCGAGCCAACTTTGGCCATCTTGGTGAGTTCCTGGCACGTCTGACGCCGTCGGGAGCCGTCTTGGGGGGCCTTTCTGGGCCGACTTGGGGCCCTCTTGGGGCGCTTCGGGGTCGTCTTGGAGGCCATCTTGGGCGTCTTGGAGGCCATCTTGGGCGTGTTGGAGGCCTGTTGGGCCGTCTTGGGGCCCTCTTGGGGCCATCTTGGAGGCCACTTGGGCCGTCATGGGGCCCTCTAGTGGGCCTCTTGGGCGATCTTGGGAGCCTCTTGGGCCGTCTTGGGCCGTCGGAAAGCCGAAGAGGCGCAAATGCCAGAATCCTTCACACACCTACGGAAAATCAATGATTTTGGCCTCGTCGGGCCTTCTGGAGGACCTCTTGGAGACCTCTTGGGCCGTCTTGGAGGCCTCTTGCGAGCCTTTTGGACCGTCTTAGACCATCTGGAGGCCATCGTGGGCCGTCTTGGGTGCATCTTGGAGCCATCTTAGCCGTCTCTGAGGCCATCTTGGAGCAACTTGGAGGCCATCTTGGGGCAACAAAGGCGACGACAGGTGGGTTTTCCGGGTGGACGGCGGGACGGGCCGAAGCCCCAGGGGAGTTCTTTTGGAAAAAGAACCAAAGCCAAAAGCCATATCGTTTAGCACGCCAGGCACCCCTGCGATGAATCGACAGGGGGCGGCGGATCTTAGTGGCCTTCGGTCCATCCCGCCACCGTGCCTGGGTTGTGTGTCTGAGGCCTCTTGTATCGTGGGTAGCCTCTCGGGGGCCTCTTGGATGCGGTTTGGGCGCCTCTTGAGGGCCTCTTGGGGCCTCTAGAGGTATCTTTTGGGCTTCCTGGGCGCGTCTTGGGCGCTTCCTGGGGCCTCTTGTAGCAGATCGTGGCGGCCAAACAACATCCCGTAGCGATCTTTGCGCGACGGGAGGAAGTCTGGGGAAGGGGAACGTGGTAAGGCCTCGAGTTGCGCACAGACAGCCCCCCCAGGTAGTCTCGGCTGGCCTGAATAGGCCTCCCGAGTAGTCTTAGTTGGCCTCGCCAGGCCCCCCGAGTAGTCTGGGGCGGACTCAACACCCTGGCGCCGCCTCCAGCGCCGCCCCTGCGGCCCTCCGCGTAAGTAACTATAAACTTGCATAGTTCCGCGCGGATATCTGGGGTCGCCTCTGGCGTTGACCTTGGCGTGCTCCGCGCGCCAGGAGGGGGGCCCAGCGCCGATCCAAATCGGGAGTGCCAATACGTTTGTGTAAAACAAAAGCTTCTGGACGCAAGGACGTCTGGGGAAGGGAAATGAGGAGCAGGAGGAGGATTAGGAGGATTAGGAGGAGGAGGAGGAGAAGGAGGAGGAGTGAGGGAGGGATGGGAATATGGAGGAGGAGGAGGAGGAGGAGGAGGAGGGAAGGAGGGAGGGAGGGAGGCAGGGAGGGTGGAGGGAGGGATGCCTGGAGGGAGGGCTCCCCGCCCAGGCTGAGAACCCCCACGGGGCGCCCGTGGGAGCCGTCGCGGCCCTCGCAGGCGCAGCTGGCAGGCCGCCGGCCAGGCTCGCCGTCGAGGTGCCCGCGCGCCCCTGGCTGCCGATGTCAGGCAGCGGGGCAGGAGGGCAGGGGGAGGGTGGGAGGGAAGGGGGGGGCAGGGAAGGGGCGGGCGGGAGGGAGGGAGGGAGGGAGGGAGGGAGGGAGAGAGAGAGAGAGAGAGAGAGAGACAGCACAGCCACGATCGGCAGCGTGACCTCGAGCAGCACAGCCACGACCGGCACGGGCACGGGCACGAGCACAGCGACGATGGCGAGTACCAGCCCGAGCAGCGCGACGCCAATGGCCACGGCAGCAGTATCGTCGACCACTGGGGCGTCCAGCGCTTCGAAGACTAGCAGTGCTTTCCAGGCGAGCGGCAGCGTGACCTCGAGCAGCACGGTCACGACCGGCATGAGCACAACCGTGAACACGGCGATGACGGCGAGTACCATTTCGAGCAGCGGGATTTTCACGGCCACTTCCGCGGTGAGCTCCACGGCAGCGGCAGCGTCGACCATGGGGATCTCCAGCGCTTCGGTGACCTCCTCCTTTCCCTCCCCCTCCTCCGCCTCCTCCTCCCCCTCCTCCTCCTTCTCCTCCTCTTCCTCCTCTTCCTTTCCCTCCCCCCCGTCCTTCTCTCCACCCCATCGGAGTCGCGAGGGAGGTGGGAGCACAACTGGGAGCAGCAGCCCTACGTTGACTATTCCGAGTGCGACGGGCAGCACAACAGGGAGCAGCAGCCCTACGTGGACAACTTCGAGAGCGGCTAGCAGCACAACAGGGAGAGGCGCAGCTGGAAGCAGGGGTCCTGCGTTGACACCTGCGAACGGGACCAGTGGCAGCACGACCGGTACCAGGAGCAGTACGGCACCTTGGACGCCTTCTCCAGCGCCGACGCCAGCCCCATCCCCGGCATCTACGCCCGCGCCTCCGCCGGCACGAACGCCAGCGCCTACACCAGCAGCGACGTCCGCCCCTACGCCAGCACCAACCCTGGCGCCTACGCCGACACCAACGCCGGCGCCTACAGCAGCACGGCCGTCAGGCCGCAGCGCACTGGTTCGCTGGGCAGCTAGCCGGAGCGCACCGGCGCTAGCGTCCACGCTCGCGCCTACGCCGGCACCAACGCCTGCGCCTACACCACCGCCGAGGGCAGCTCCGCTACCACCATCTTGGACGCCTTCGCCAGCGCCGACGCCAGCACCATCCCCAGCATCTACGCCCGCGCCTCCGCCAGCACGAACGCCAGCGCCTACACCAGCAGTGACGTCCGCCCCTACGCCAGCACCGAGGCCGGCGCCTACGCCGACACCAACGCCGGCGCCTACAGCAACACCGCCGTCAGCGGGTTGGACCAGTGGCGCAGCAGGAGGCAGTGCAACCAGTACCAGGAACAGCGCAACGTTAGGGGGCACGAGGCCGACGACTCGCAGCCTCGACCGCGGTGGCCAGGGTCACGTCGTCTCCTCGGCCGAGCTCTTCTTCTTGTTCCACATCCGGAGCTGTGCATCCTCGGCCAGGGGGGCTTCACGAACATCTTCTTGTCCTCTGGCCTGTCCCAAGGCCCACGCGCCCTGGCACTCAGCTCCAGCTGCGCTGTCCCCAGCGCTCGACATGGTCCACAGCGCGCTCAGCATCCTGCCGCCTCTGCTCGTGATGGTGCCGCTCCCCACATCCTTCCGGTGCTGGGCAGCCTCTCCCTAGCCCAAGGGGCGCATGCTGCCTTCGGCCCCTTGCTCCACGGGCCGTCCCACCCTGCGTTCATCCTCGCGGCGGCATGCATCGGGCACACTCCTCTGCACTTCCTGTGTTGGGGGGCGGTGGTCCACGGAGGCCCCGCGCAGCGAACCGCCGCCTGCTTGTGCATGTACGCTGTGGCCTCCGACGTGCACTTCAATCGACCGCTCTGCGAGGCGCTCACCGCCGCCTTCACGGTCGCCCTCAGCCCCGGTGGCTACTCCAGCTTGTCTTCGAAGATGGCCTTCGCCAGCCATGCTGTCTTGCTGGCCCGGGCCATTGCCGCGCCCGCCTTCCCCGCTGGCCCGGCAGCGCCGGCCGATCCAGCAGGCCCGGCCGCCCCGCCACCAAACGTTCCTGCCCCTGTTGCACCCCCAGCGGGCCCTCCCGCAGCGCAGCCTCCGGCGCCAGCCCCGGGTCAAGCAGCAGAGTCCGAGTGGGCAGTTGACGTTATGCCGCACCGCCGCTCCTGCGCGTGCCAGGCCAGCGCCTGCCGCAGACCTTTCTCCAAAGGCGACCTGCGGGTGTACCGCACGTCCCGCAGCTTGGCCCACAGGAATTACTTCTGCCCGAGTTGCGTGGAGGGCGGACTCGGCCCCTTTGACATGGTCCAGGGTAGCGCCTCCCTCTCGCCAGAGGCCCAGGCGGAGCTGCACCAGTCCTGCGACCAACCTGGACGTCCCACACGGGCGGAGCACCTCGCCGATTCGCGCGCTGGACGCCTGCGCCGCCGCACAGCCGACCAGGCGCACACGCCGGGCCGCAGGGCCCCGCGTGACGACGACGACGCCGACGACGACGCTCGGCCGCCCGGCCTCGACGCCGACGGGGCCCCAGCGCAGACGCTCCTCAATCTTGACTGGTGGGACGGGGTGTCGTACAACGACTTGGGGGTGGACGTCCGCACCGTTGGGTCGGTCCCGGAGCCCCTCGCGCACTCCCTCGCCGTGCTCCGGGGGGCTGCCGCGACCGCCTTCCTCGACGCACAGCGGGCCGGAGACGCCGCTGCAGCTAGCAGGGCGGGCAAACTGCTGACTTTCTTCGACAGGGTCATCCTCTTCGCACCGACCCGGGTCCGCGGAGGACGGAGCGCTAAGAACAGCGGCGGGCTCTCCAAAATCCTCACGCGACGGATCCGCATAGCTTGGCGCGGCGACTGGGGGGCTCTGTGGCGCGAGGCGGCCGCCACCGCCGCTGCTGGGGCTGGTGCAGCCGGTCGACGGCGCACTGGCCGACCGCAGGACACCGCGAAGAACGTGGAGACCTTCCTCTCTGAGGGATTGGTATCCAAGGCCATGTCGTTGGTGACACGCTCGGCCGCGGTGGTCACTGACGCCAGTGCTCACGGCGAGCTTCAGAACCTCTTCCCGCAGGGCGCGGGCGCCACCCCAACCGCAGCGCAGCTTCCCGACGACGAGACCACAGAAAAGCTCCTGCACGCGGTGCGCCAGGCCATCGAGCAAGCCCCGCGGAGGTCTGGCCCAGGCCCCAACGGCTCCCGTTTCGAGCACTGGAAGACTCTCCTTGCCGACTCCGCCGCGCTCGAGGCGAACTGCCGGGTGGCCGTGGCCTTCCTCCTCGGCGTCCTCCCCCCCGATTTCACGACGGCCAACTTGGGGGCCCGGCTAGTGGCGCTGCGGAAGAAAAACGGGAAATTGCGGCCGGTGGCATGCGGGAGCGTCCTCCGCAGGCTGGCGGCGAAGGCGGCTTGCGAGGTCTTCAAGGAGGAGCTGAAAGACGCCTGCGGTCCCCTCCAGTTCGCGGTCGGCACGAGGGCGGGCTGCAAGCGGGTCCACAAATGCGTCACCGCTCTGGCCGAAGCGATGCCGGGGGCCGCCGTCCTGGCTTTTGATGCTACTAATGCCTTCAATGCCCTGCCCCGGCAAACGGTGCTTGACGCAGTGGCCCGCCGGGCGCCGAGCCTCCTCCCGGTCGCCAACGCTTGGCTGACGAGGCCGACGACGCACCTTTTCTGGGACGACCTCGGCACCCCCATGCCCGTGTCGGCCCAGACAGGCGTCGACCAGGGCTGCCCGCTCAGCCCCGCGTTCTTCGCCATTGGGATCGCCGACGCCCTTGCCCGCGCCCACGAGCGCCTGCAACTGCTGAGCCCCGTCTCCCGCCTTTTCTCCTACCTCGACGACGTGCTTGTGGTCGTGCCAGCGGAGGCCGCCGCCCAGGCACACGACGTCGTGCGAGAAGAGATGGCCCGGGCCGGCTTGGAGCTCAACGCGGACAAGACCAAGGTATGGACCGCCAGCCCGGCCACTGCGATCCCTCCACAGCTCGTGCCGCTCCGGGCCGCCAACTTGACCGTCCTGGGGAACCCGGTCACGTGGTACGACCGCGACGAGGACGACGACGACGCCAGGCTTCCCCTTCTGGCCAGCTCCGACGGCCGAGAGGTCCTGGACAAAACGCGGCACTTCCTGGCCCACTGGAGAACGCTGCGCCAGAACGGGCTCTCGGCGGAAGGGGCGCACACGCTGCTCCGCACCTACGCCCAGGGCTGCTGCACCCACCTGCTGCGCGCGAACTACGAGACCGCCTGGGTGGGGGAGCTCGACGACTTGCTATTCGGGGCCTACGCCGAGCTAACTGGGCCCTTGAGCAACGAGCAGAAGGAGTGGCTCACCCTCCGCCTCAAGGACGGCGGCAACGGCTTCCCCTCGGCCCGGGAGACCGCCGCCCGCGCCTACCTCGGAAGCTGGGCCTTCTGCTTTCGGGGCGTGGCAGGCTGCCTCGGAGCCACCTCGGCGGAGGCCGTCCGGGCACGCTGCCCTCAGACGGCAGACGCTTGGCGCCGCGCCGAAGCGGAGCTCGACCGGCAGGAGGCGAAGGCCGAACCCTTGGATTGGGCAGCTCTCCTGGCTGAGCCCAAGGCCAAACAGCAGGGGTACTGGGGGAAGAGGACTTCCTTCGCCAAAAGAGCGCGGCTGCTCCGGACGCTAAACGAGGACGGCCAACTCGCTCTGCGCGGCGCCGGAGGCCCAGGGGCGGGGGCCTGGCTCTTGCCTCGCGAGGAGGGCGACGCGCCCCTCCCAGACAACCACTTCCTGGCCAACTTGCGCATGCGTCTTTCCTGCGACGTGTGTGCCCCGGGCTCGCGCTGCCAACACCGGAAGCAGGACGGCTCGCTTTGCGGGGAAGCGCTGGATGCCAAGGGCTGGCACGCCCGGAAGTGCGGGTGCGGGGACAGCAGGGACTACAGGCACAACTCCCTGCGCGACTGGAGCGGGCCTTGGCACTACGCTCAGACGGGCCACAGGGCCACGACCGAGCAGCGAGTCCCTGCTTGGGACCGCCAGCACCCTGACACCGGAGCTTGGGAGGAGGCTATTCTCGACGTGGCCACGCGCGACCCCGCTACCAACGCCCCAATCTTTGTGGACTGGTCTGTCACCTGCGAACACAGCAACAACAACGCTCGCAGGCAGGCCAGGGCTCGCACGGACGGGGTGGCGGCGGCTCAGGCAGTCGACAGAAAGCGGGCGCGCTACCCCCCGGCTGGAGGGGAACTCATCCCGGCCGTCTTGGAGACTGGGGGCCGGCCGGCGGACGAGCTGGTCGCCTTCGTGCGCTCCTACGGCCGGGACCTGCCGGATGCCGACCGTTCCGCTGTGATCTCTACCACGTGGAGAAAAATTCAGCGGTGCCTCGCGTTCGGCAACGCTGAGATGCTGCTCAGTGCGACGTGAGCAACCCACCGGCTCCGACTCGACCACAGCCACCACCGCGGCGACCATTAGCACGCCCGCCTCACGCCCACTACGACCACCACGACGACTACCACGACCGCTGCCCTGCGACCACTGCGACAACCACGCCCACCACCACCACTACGCTCGCCCACCGCCACGACCACTGCGGCGACCACTGCGGACGGCCACGGCGACGACGGCCACCATCACGACCACACGACCACCACGACCACTTCGGCCACCACCGCGGCTGCCGCCCCCACCCACTACGACCCCCACGGCCCCCGCAACGACCGCCACCTTCCGACCGCCCCCGTCCCTTGCCCCTCCCTCCCCTTCCCCTGGCTGGCCGCTCCTCCTCCTCCTCCTCCTCCTCCTCCTCCCTCTCCTGTTCAGTTTGCGCCCGCTTCGCTTTGCCCGCGCTGATTTTCGCTCAAGGCGACTGTCGGCGCAGGTGGCCTGCCCGAGGTGGTTTTGCACCTGCCCCCGCCGCCTGCTCCGGGGTCGCCCGGCAGGTTGGGGCAGGGTGCTGGGGACCTCGCCTCCCCCTCCCCCGAGAGAGAGAGAAAGAGAGAGAGAGAAAGAGAGAGAGAGAGAGAGAGGACAAACAGCAATGAAGTAAGCACATACATGAAGAAAGAGGGAGGGAGCCTCCCTCCCTCCCTCCCTCCCTCCCTCCTTCCCTCTTTCCCTCCTCCCTCATGGCGAAGGAAGGGAGGGAGGGAGGGGGGAGGAGGGAGAAGGGGGGAGGAGGGAGGGGGTGAGGAGGAACCGTGCCGCCGCTTGGCCTGCAGGCGGGCGGGATGCCAGCTCGGCCTTGGCCCGCCCCCCACTCCTCCTTGTTGGCGTCGTCGATGGATGAGCGGCCCGTCGATGGACGCGCGGCCCGCCGCTGTCGCTGTTGCCCTCGACGAGGGAGGACGGGCTGATGGCCTACGAAGAATTCGGATGCAACTCATTGGAGGTCAAGTTCTGATTCTGCTGAATCCCGCTTAATCCCGTTCAATGCGGCTTAATCCCGCTTAATCCGAAGCTCGTAATGGGGCCTCATCCTCCTTAATCTTTCCGACGAAGACCTCCCAGCAGTTGCTTCTTAAGAAGAAGGGGATGCTGGCGTTGGAGCCGTCTGGGGATCTGGGGTGGCCCAGCATTGGTTCTGGTCAGCAGGAAGGGCGGGCAGGTTGGAGATTTTGAGTTCGGGAAGGTTTTGTTGCCTTTTTCTGCCTCCTGGGGCCGTTTCCGGGCCCCGGGACCGTGACACATTGATCCTGCGTAAATTGCACTGGATCTTGGGAGGGGTCTCGGGATTGATTTTGAGCGAATTTGGCGTCAGCCCCCCGTCTGGCCGATCTTCTAGGGCCCCAACCAGTTCAGACCCCCCAACCGCCTCCAACCGTCGATGACCGCGCGACCCGCCGTGTCGCTGTTGCCCTCGAGGGGGGACAGGTCTATCACCTACGTACTGGTAGCAGGGGATGGTGGCGTAGCCTTCGGAGTTGTCGGAGACTACGAGAGCGGCTTGGCCAGAAAGGCCGCGTCGAGCGCCCGTGCGTCTTGCTGTTTCGCCTCCTCGAGCCGCTCCTCTCCCTCCACTTGGCATCGCTCGGACGTTCGCATGTTTTCTCGGTGAGGCTACCGCTAGAAAAGCAAGACCATCCAGGGAGTGCGCGGGGAATGGGCGTCCGAGCGATGGCAAGCTCCAAGATCTGGGGGGCAAATGGCGACATGCACATCAACGTTCGGAGGTCCGCGCGGACTGCGCGCCAGGGAGGGGGGCCTGCGCGGGCCTGCGGCCTGCGCCGAGGCATCGACGATGCGGCGCGATCTCTTCGGACCCCATGCGGGAGGCCTCTACGAGAGGGGAGGCTGCGTCATGGCGAGCGGGGGCCAGAGTGCCCGCCTGCCTGCTGGGCGGCGCGGAGGCGACGGGTCGTCCGCGAAGGGGGCAGCACTGTGGTAGCACCAGTGACTGTCCTTGAAGTTCCCGCGGAGCGGCAGTGCACGCAGGACGCATTGCTGCGTCCTGCTGCCACCTCAACTGCTGTATCCACTGTGGCCCATCGGGCGTACCTGCACATGGGGCGGGCCAGCTGCTGCAGAACGATGGAGCGTGTCCACGCTGGTGCGCGGATCCTGGCCTGGTCGAGCAGGCCGAACCCTGGATGCAAGTCGCGGAGCAGCGGTATCCACCACTGGGTCCGCAGGGAACCGCGAACACCTGAGCCAAAATGGTTGCGGAGACGGTGACGGAGAGGGTGAGACGGGGTAGGGAGGAAAGAGAGGGGGAGGGATGGAACGGGGGAGCGGGTGGCGAGGAGGGAAGAGAGGAGACAGTGTCCTCTCTTATTCCTCCCCGCTCTCCCTCTTTCTTCCCTCTTCCTCCTCCTCCTTCTCCTCCTCCATCCGCTCTCCTCCCTTCATCCCCCCCTTCCTCGTAACTCCGTCCTTCTCCTCTTCCACTCTCCTTCTCCTCCTCCTCCTCCTCCTCCTTCTCCTCTTCCTCCTTCTTGTCTATCCTCCTCCATCCTGTTCCTCCTCGTCAATCCTCCTCCATCCTTCTCCTCGTCCATCCTCCGCCCTCATCCCTCCTTCCTCCTCCCTCCTCCTCATCCACCATCCTCGTCCATCCTCCGCCACCACCCTCCTCCTCTTCCTCATCCTCGTCCCTCCTTCCGTACCATCCTCGTTCCTCCTCTTCCTCCCTCCTCCTCCTCCCTCCTCATCTGCCATCCTCCCCGCCCATCCCCCTCCGCCATCCTCCGCCCGTCTCCTGCTCCTCTGGGCGGGGCGAGGCGGACTGGGCCCCGCCAGACGATCCGACGCGCGGCCCCGAGGCAACCGGGCCAGGCGGCGCGGCGGCAGGGCCGACGGCGCGGGCGCGGAGGAGCGGGCCACGGCCTCCTTGCCGCCCGCCCCCCCCGCGTGGCGTTCCGGGCGGCCTCCCGAGACCGACGACGGCAACGCCGCCACCGACGACGACGACGACGCCATCGACGACGACGACGACGACGACGACGACGACGACGACGACGACGACGACGACGACGACGACGACGAGGCGCATTTTTTTGCACGTCCCAGAAGTCTACGGCTGGTTCGCGTCGTGTCGACACGGCGGCGACCCCGCCGCAGCCGTTCAAGGTTGAACACCGCCAGTGGCCCGGAAGCGACCAACATGGAACGCTATTGCGATCGTGAAGCCGCCGACCTTTGAATGAAGATTGAACGATCCATGCGGTGTCAGAAACCAACGCCAGGGTCGCCACGACATGGACCTGCCGTACACCACAATCTCCCTCATGCCTCCCTCTCCCAGGAAAGAGGAGGGGAAGAGCGGGGTGGAGGAGGGAGGGGCATTGGACGTGGCGGTGGCGGTGTATATTCTTGGAACCCGCTTGCCGTCGGAGCCGGCGTTCCGCCGTGAGGGAAGAGGGGTCATAGCCGGGTCCAGGAGACGAATCGCGATTCTCGTGCTCTGGGGACCCATCCTGGCCGACTAGACGTAAGAGCGACCATTCGCCGGAGTGACCTTTGGTGCGGGCCTCCTGGGGTCCTCCGACCGCTGAACGTGATGCGATAGCATCGGCTTTCGCGCTTGGGTTTCGTCCCGCCCACCCGAAGCTGCGCATCAAGGGTCACTCTTGCTGTGCCAGGGCCACTCTTGCGTATAGCTGACCTTGGTTCCAGAGCCGTGAAAGCATATTGGGTGCCTCGCACCTTTACGGGGTCCACCAATCTACCACCACCACCACCACCACCACCACCACCACCACCACCACCACCACCACCACCACCACCACCACCTGGGTCACCCCACCCTGCCCCGGGACAGAGGGACAGAGGAGGGGAAGAGGAGGGTGGAGACCCGCTGAACGTCGGGGGTGGCGCTCATCAGTAAGGGAAGATGGGTCGTAGCTGGGTCCTGGAGATGTTTCGCGATTCTCGTGCTCTCGTTCCGGCCCCCCGAGATCGGGTCGGAGTAGATGGGGTCGGAGGATCGCGCAGCATCGCCGATGCATCGGCGATGCGGCGCCTGATTTTCTCCTCGCCGACGTCGCCGATGCATCGCCGATGCATCGCATCGCCGATGCATCGCCGATGCGGCGTGATCTTCTGACCTCATCTACTCGGACCCCATCTGAGAGGCCTCTAGTTCCGTGGCAGTAACAGCATACTGGGCTGAGAAGTTGGGTTGAGGAAGGAGCGAACCTGTGGCAGGTCCCGGTGGAGCGAGTCCTTTATGTAGAAGCTTGCGAGGCCCGTGTGCGCGAGTTTGTCCACTGGATCGGCTGACTGCATGCGTGGATCGTAGGTGCGGAGGGTTTCTGGGGACTTCAGGCGTGGTCCCAGGGCTTCCTGATACGCCCGAGCTTTGGCCCCTAGACGAGGCCCGAGCTGCACGTGAGGTGATCGTCCGGAAGCGGATCGAGTGTCATTTCACCTTGGTGCCCCAGCCCGTGCCGAAAGCGAAAGTTGGGACGGAATGGAGCTGGTGGCGGTGTCTGGGAGGCAGTGGCTTTTCAGATGGAATTATGTTGTGAAGTGCGATGTAGGTGTCGAGGAAGATTGCTTGCCTCCGCGGCTGTTCTGTAAGTCCTGTGTTGCCTGCGTTGGCCACAGGATCTCCCCAGGAACGAACCTTGCGGAAGGGTGCAGGGAGGTCGGCGCACGCGAAGCTCAAGACCTATCCTTCTGCGCTCTCGCCGAAGCTGGCCTGGACGCACGAGAGGCCGATGGTGTCCTCGCCTGGGGCGGGGGTCGGGCACGCTGGCGGGCCGTCTCCGGGTCCTGGGCCCCCGACGGTCGTGGGGGGCCATCGGCTTCAGCCAGTGTGGGGGGGGGAGGTCCTGGTGCGGGTCCGCTGGGAGGTTGCCCGTCTGCGCGGCTCTGCTTCGCCTGACTCGGCGGCTGGGTGGGCAGATCGGCAGCGGCGGGCCCAGCGGCCGGCCGAAGCCGACCACGCCGAGTTCTGACGCATCCCAGGAGTGGAGGACGCTTGGTGCGCCTGGGGCCGCGTACCGTCTCGGCGGACTCGCTGATGCACCATCCATTTCCCGTTCTCCATTCCTGTTCCGTCAATTCAGCTCCTCCTTGTCGCACCCCAGGCGTGTCCGTAGGGCGGGCCTAGCGTTTCGCTCGACTTCTCCAGTATTTGTGATCTTGCAGCTCGAAGTCTGCAGCAGTTTCACGGATTGAGAATGTGGCTCTCGCTTTAGTACCGCGCATTCTCGTTTTAGGAATTTGCAACCGTGTCACAGATGGGGGTCTGTCCGTTTTCAAATTGTGGGTCTCGCCATAGCGCCGCGCGCATTCGTCTTAAAAGCTTGCAACAGCTTCAAGGATGGAGAGGGGGTCGTTTTCAAAGTGTAGTTCTCGCTTTAGCGCCGCGCACATTCGTCTCAAACGTCCGCAGCAGCTTCAACCATGGAGGGCGGTTTCTTTGCAACATGTGGTTCTCCCCTTAGCGTCGCGCGCTTTTGCTTTCAAAGTTCGCAGCAGTTCCACGGGCTCCTGAGGTGAAAGTTTCCTGAATGGTGGTCTGGCAAGGTTCAGGGCTGTCTTGTCAGGGCGTAACAGTTCTTTCAACTCGCGGCGCTGAAGTCCCAGGAATTGTGTTCAGACACTGTTTGGGGTTGCCCGGGCACAATAAGCATGTTGATTCGCGGCCTTAACGTTTCTCAGACGATTGTCTTGCAATTTGCCATTTCCCGCAACGGAATGAATTCTTGCATGCGGCGATGAAGAGGGAGCTTGGAGGGATGGGTGCTAGGCAACATTGTTGATGCGTCTTGAGTTTACATTGGCCCTCCTCCTCCTCCTCCTCCGGGGCGAGGTCTGCTGGCGGTCGTGCCAGGACGCCGGGGTCCTCATCTGATAGCCGCCGCCGATCGAGGCTGGAGGATTCAAGGCCTCGAGGCCCGATGCGTTTGGGGCGTTCTGGCCCCCTCGAGGCGGCGAGCGCAGCTCGAGATCCTCCCTCCTCCTCCCTCCTCCTCCCCCCTCCCCCCTCCTCCCTCCCCCTCCTGCTTCTCCTCCCTGCTCGCCTGGGCCCGCTGGGCCCCGGCCCCGCCACAGGACGGCCACGACGGCGGCAGCCATGGCCCCAGCCGACGGGATGGCACGGGGGACGGCGGCGGAGGCGCGGCGGCCCCGCCTCGTCGCCGCACCCTCCGCCATGCCCTGTCGTGCCGTCCCTCGCCCTCGCCCTTCCCCCCCCCCCCCCTTGCCTTCCCCCCTCGCCCTCCCCCCCTCGCCCTCGCCCTGCCCCGCTTCCCGCCCCTCGCCCCTGCCTCTTCGCTCCCCTCGCCTTTTTCCCCCCGTCGTGCCTCCCCCCTTCCCTCCCCTTGCCTTCGCCCCTCTTGCCTCTCTTCCCCTTCCGCTCACTCCCACCCCTCGCCTGGATCCCTCAGGGGGTCCAAGGGAGGAGAGGAGGAGGAGGAGGAGGAGGAGGAGGAGGAGAAGTAGAAGGAGGCAATGAGCGCCCAAAAGCTTCGATCCCCCTGCCTCTCGCCCCCACCCCGGGGAGATTGTTTCTTATTCGTTGAACCCGTATCGTCCGTGACGGGAGGGTCGCCCCCTTTCGGCACGGTGCCAGATGTACGGGGGGGGAGGGGCTGGCCTCCCCACAGACAGGTATGGTGCCGTGCTCACAGGCATCGTATAGCCTCCAGACGCTTCCAGAGGCGGCCGTCGTCGTCGTCGTCGTCGTCGTCGTCGTCGTCGTCGTCGTCGTTGTCGTCGTCGTCGTCGTGGTCGCCACCATCGCCACCGTCACCACCGTCGCCACCGTCGCCACCGTCGCCGCCGTCGCCGCCGTCGTCGTCGTCGTCGTCGTCGTCGTCGTCGTCGTCGTCGGCGTCGGCGTCGGCGTCGGCGTCGGCGTCGGCGTCGGCGTCTGCGTCGTCGGCGTCGTCCCCAACAGCGTCGTCGTGGTGTGGTGATCACGTCGTCGTCGTCGTTCTCGTCGTCGTCGTCGTTGTGTTCCTCGTCGTCGTCGTCGCCGTCGTCGTCGTCGGTATCCTAGTCGTCGTCGTGGTCGTCATCGTCATCGTCGTCGTCGTTGTCGTTGTCGTCGTCGTCGCCGGCGCTCTTGTCCTCGACATGGTTCTCGTCGTCGTTGTCGCCGTCGTCGTCGTGGAATGACCTGCAGACGCCTCCAGAGGCCTCCAGCAGGAGAGGCGGCTGTCGTGTTTGTCGTCTTTTCCGAGGGCGTCGAAGGGCCTCCACAGACGCACGAAGACTTTGGAGACCTCTGGAGATCTTCAGGGGTGGCCGTCGTCGCCGTCGTGGTGGTGGTCGTCGTCCTCGTCCTCGTCCTTGTCCTCCTCTTCCTCGTCCTCGTCGTCGCCCTCATCCTCGTCCTCGTCGTCCTTGTCCTCGTCCTCGTTCTCGTCGTCTTCGTCGTCCTTGCCCTCGTCGTTGTCGTTGTCGCCGTCGTCGGCGGCGTCGTCGTCGTCTTCGTCGTCGTCGTTGTCGTCATTGTCGTTAACGTCGTTGTCGTCGTCGTTCGCGTCGTCGTCCCCGTACTCGTCCTCGTCCTTCTCGCCGCCGTCGTTTCCGAGGGCCTCGAAGGGCCCACCAGATGCTTCTAGAGGCTTCTAGAGACATCCTGAGGCCTCCAGAGGTCTCAGGAGACCTTCAGTGGTGGCCGTCGTCGTCATCGTCGTCGTCGTCATCGTCGTTGTCGTCGTTGTTCTCGTCGTCGTCGTCGTCGTCGTCATCGTCGTCGTCGTCAGCGTCGTCAGCGTCGTCGTCGTCCTCGTCGTCTTCGTCGTCGATGTCGTCTTCGTGCTCGTCTTCGTCCTTGTCGTCGTCCTCGTCGTCGTCCTCGTCATCGTCGTCGTCGTCGTCCGGCGCCCAGTCTCCCCCCCCTCTTGCGAGGCTCTTCTACATAACCATTACTCTCCCCCATAGGGCCATGCCGGCCCGACCCCCGCCGCCACCCCGTAACGGAAGGGGGGAGGGGGGGGGAAACATGTTCCAGGAGTGAGGAGGATAGGGAGGGGAGGGAGGAGGAGACAGAGGAAGGAGAAGAATGAGGAGGAGGAGGAGGAGGAGGAGGAGAAAAGGAGGCAGAGGAGGAGGAGGAGGAGGAGGAGGAGGAGAACAGGAGGAGGAGGAGGAGGAGAAAAGGAGAAAAAGAGGAGGAGAACAGGAGGAGGAGGAGCACGCACAGACTCCCCAGAGCATCTCAGCATGTCCCCAGAGGCCCCCCCGCCTCCCGCCCGCCCGGGCGCGATGGGGCGGGGCAGGAGAGGCCGGGGGGAGCGCCCCGGCGGCCGGGGCCGCGGAGGCAAGCGCGGCGGCAAGTCCGAGCACGCCCGGAGGGGCCCCGACGAGGACCGGGCAGCGGGGGCCCGAGGAAGGCGGGTGGCGCTCGGCGCGCGGTGGCAAATCGTGGGAGCCTTCGACCGGCGGCGACCCCTCCGCTGGCGTTTTCCGCGTGGGGCGCCGGCGGGCGGCCCAGAGTCGGGAGTCGGTCGATTTTGAGCGATCTGGCGTTTCGGAAACGGCCAGTCGTTCAAGGTCGAACGATCCCCGCGGTGGCAGGAACCAGCGCTGGGGTCGGCATGACTGGAAACTGCCGTTTTTAGAACGCTTAGCGTCGATTAGCGTCTGGTAATCGATGAGAGTGCCGCTTTAGCGTCGACTTACTTAGCGCCGATGAGCGTCCAATAGCGTCGATTAGCGCCGATACGCAAGAGCCAACACAATGGTACGGGGGTCTCCCCAGAGTTGCCGCAGAAGCTGGCTCGGTGTGGGTCGGCGGCGGCGGCGGCGGCGGCGGCAGCGACGACGACGACGACGACACTACGACGACGGTGACGACGACAGCGGCCCTGCCAGCACAGGTCAGGACTCCCAACTTGGGCTAGAGCAGGTGCGGCCAGAGGATCGCGCCGCATCGCCGATGCATCGGCGATGCGGCGAGATGCGGCGAGATGCGGCGACGACGACGACGACCACGACGACCTCGACGAGTACGACGACCAATACGGCGGCGACGACGACGACAATGCATAGGTGCATGCAGCGCCGCATCGGCGGTTCGTTGCCGATGCGGCGCGATCCTAATCTCGATGTTTTGCGCCCCGACGTCTTCAGTGCATCGGTCGGCGGCGACAGCCGAACCATACCCTCGCCGATCCACTATTCAGGCAACCCGATGAGCGGTTGAGCTGTGGGGGGGATTCGGAATTCGTTGAACATGTGGTGAAACCAGAAGACAGCTCGCCGCTTGGGCCCCACCGCCAGCCCAACCGGCGAGCATAAATCGGGCGTAACCCCGCACGCATTTGGATGCCCACGCTTCGTCCTCGTACTACTCGCGGGCCCCCAGCACGGCGAGTACGTTGACGGCGTCCTGATCGTACCAGGGGCACACATGGGTTGCGCCCTCGGCTGCCGACAAAAAAACGTCTCCTATCGGTTGCGCCATAGCTTGCGCCCCCAGCCGCCGAGAATAAAACCATCTCCGATGCGGTGCGCCATAGGTTGCGCCAACGGCCGCCGACAATAAAACCGTCTCCTATCGGTGGCGCCATAGGTTGAGCCCTCTGGGGCAGAGAATAAAACCGTCTCCGATTGGTTGCGCCATAGGGTGCGTCCTCGGCGGCAGATAAACCGTTTCCTATAGGTTGCGACATCGGTTACGCCTTCAGCCGCCGAGAATAACACCGTCTCCTAGTGGTTGCGCCATAGGCTGCGCCCTCGGCCGCCAATCATAAAATCGTGTCTTACCGGTTGCGCCATAGGTTGCGCCCTCGGCGGCCGAGAATAACATTGTCTCCTATTGGTTTCGCCATGGGTTGCGCCCTCGGCCGCCGACAATAAAACCGTTTCCTATCGGTTGCGCCCTAGGTTGCGCTCTCGGCGGCCGAGAATGAAACCGTCTCCTATAAGGTGCGCCATAGGATGCGCCCTCTGCGGCCAAAAGTAAAACAGTCTCCCCTTGGCTGCGCCATAAGTTGCGCCCTCGGCCACCCAGAATGAAACCGTCTCCTATCGGTTGCCCCATAGTTGGCGCCTTTGCGGCCGACGATAGAACCGTCTCCTATCGGTTGCGCCACATGATGCGCCCTCGGCCGCCGAGAATAACGCCGTCTCCTGTAGGGTGCGCCATAGGTTGCGCCTTCGGCCGCCAATCGTAACACCGTCTCGCCCTCGGCGGCCGAGAATAAGACCGTCTCCTATCGGTTTCGCCATAGGTTGCGCCCTCGGCGGCCGAGAATAGAACCGCCGCCTATTGGTTATTGGTTGCGCCATAGGTTGCGCCCTCTGCCGCCGAAAAAACACCGTCGCGCAACGAGTGCGACCAGCAAGTTCAGTTCAGTTCACTTCAATATACTTCAGTTTAGTCCAGATCAGTCCAGTCCAATCCAGTCCTGTCCAGTCCAGTCCAGTCAGTTTACCTCGCGAGAAACAAATTCGGGCTACGCCCGAAATTCGAATTTTGCCCTCTAGGCCTCCCAGATAGGGTCGGCATAGATGGGGTCGGACGATCGCGCCGTATCGCCGATGCATCGGCGACGCAGCTCGATGTGGAGTCTGTTTTTGTTCCTCGCCGACGGCGCCGATGTATCGGGCATGCCGCGCGATCCTCGGACCCCATCTACTCGGACCCCATGTGGGAAGCCTCTACACCCTCGGCTCCCATCGATTCAGGGGAACCGATGGTTGGTGGCGATGGGGTTCGAGCGCCGCCATCTCGTGTGGGCCTCCAGCTCCGCCGCCGCCTCCTCGTCCCCTCACCGTTCTTGTCCGCCGCCTCCGGCTCCTCGTCCTCGTCCACCGCCTCTTCGTCCGTGTGCGCCGCCCCCTCGTCCTTGTCCTCCGCCGCCTCTTCCCTGTCCTTACCCTCCGCCTCCAGCTCCGCCGCCTCCGCCTCCTCGTCTCCTCCCCCCGTCCTCGGCTCGGAGGCGGGGGCCGAGGGCGAGAGGCGGCGAGGCAAGCACTGGGAGGGCAGTGGGGAGGGAGCTCCTCGGCCCCTCTCAGCCTGCTCCCCTGGGCTCCCCCTCCTGCGCCCCCTGTCTCCTCCATCCCTCCCCCTCCTCCTCATCCCGTTCCCCCTCCTCCATCCGTCCCCCACCAGTCGCCCCCACTCTCCGCTCCGCCCCCTGCCTCATCCCCTCTCCTTCCTCCCCCCCCAAGCGGAGGGGAGAGTGCGCGGACTGAAGCTTGTGAATAGGGTGCATGTCGGATGGGGGGCTGGAAACGGCGAGAGGGACGGGGGGGTGCGATCAGGGGTGGCACGGGGAGGAGGAGGAGGAGGACCAGTGCAAACCCAAGAATCATCAACGATGTTGGAATACACTTTCCCTGCAAGCTCCTCCTTCACAGGCCCCTACAAGGGTTCTTTTTCCCACTGGGGGAATTACCCCGTTGGTGGTGAACCATGTGAAAACCCTGAAGCGTGCCATAACACCATTCCCCTGATTTCAACGCCACGAGTCAACCTGACTGTTGCGTCTTGGCGACCCTGAACTCGTGGACGCCATTCCAGGGGCTTCAACACCGCGAATCAACGCAATTGTTGCGCCTTGACAGTCCCGAATCGCTCCAGAACGCAATTGTTTATGAAGTTCGCCATGAGAGTCAGTAAAACTGTTTGATCTGTTGAAAAGAATGTGTACAGCGCTAGCTAATCTGCGCGGCGCAAAGGCGAGAGCCACATTTTGAAAACCATCCGCCTCAGCCCTCAATTCGGGAAGCTCTTGCAGTTTTTTGAACAACGAATGTGCGCGGCGCTTAGGCGAGAGCGACATTTTGAAAACGACCCGCCCTCAATCGGCAAATTTGGAAATGAATGCACACGGCGCCAGGGCGGGAGCTACATGTTTGAAGCGACTCGCTCTACATCAGTGACACGGTTGTCATCTGTTTAGCTTCAGGAGGAGGAGGAGAAGGCACGGCGCTCGGCAACCCGATGCCCAAACACGGGCCTTGGCTGGAACCAGACATTTGAAAGTGCAGTCCATCTTACACTAAACTTGTTGCTGGTGATGAAACACACGATCGCAATACATCGATAATGTAATGGGGGGCCTAGTCTTGGGGTGACGCCCCTTCTGGACCTTACCTTCCTTCCTTCGAATAACGGCCACGGTCCGAGGCTCGGAGGGGGCCCCAGCGCAATTAGCGTTGAGACCGTGGTGAGAATGAGTTGCCCTGCGTCCTTCGAACGAGTCATAAGGAATGCGACAAGGTGGGACCAACCAGTTCAACGATGTGCTCAGCGAGATCCCAGTCTCGAAAAAACGGCCGCCCCCATTTGTGCAACTATTGCAGCCGTTATACGTGTTGAAGCCGTTAGCCTTCATTCGGTTCAAGGAAGGCTCGAGCGAGAGACACCGTTGGAAAAGAAGTCATCATCCACCCCTGTAGCTGTTTGCAAACTTGTATGACTAATGCGCGCGGTGCTGAGGCGAGGGCTTCTTTTTACCCGCATCCATTTTTGACAGGCGCTGCAAGGCTTTAAGACGAACTCGATGCGCGAAGGCGAGAGCTACATTTTAGAACCTACCCCCCCATCCTCGTAGCTGCAACAAGCTTTCGAGACGACGGTGTCGGGCGCCAAGGCGAGATATCAATTCTGAAAACGACCCACCTCATCTTTGCATAGGCGATAAGGCGCACATGTTTGACCTAGTCCCTCCAGCGTTTCTGGGATTATTGTAAATTCCCAGCTTCAGGATGCAGGAAGTATCAGGCGAAATGCCCGGCCCGCTCTACAGACACGTCTCGGAATTGTTCTTTGTCAGGAAACGGGATGGTTACGGAGGAGAGTGAGATGGAGGAGGAGGAGGAGGAGGAGGGGGTGGTCGGAGGCGGAGGAGGAGGAGGAGGAGGAGGAGGAGGTTCGGGCGGGTGGACGGAGAAGGAGTTTGATAAAAGGGAGGATGAGGAGTAAGAGGAGGAGCAGGAGGAGGGAGTGGATTCTGATAAGGAGGAGGAGGGGTAGAGGAGTGGGACAGAAGAGGAGGAGGACGACGACGAAGAGGAGGGGAAGTCGCGACTACCAGCCGACGAGAAGCATGCCATCTAAGCACTAGCGCGAAAGCAACCAGACCCACAGAGATGGCACGCAGAACGATGCCAACCCAGACGACGCCTCCTCCCCCTGGCCACCTTGGGAATTTGAGTACAAGCAGTACCGCAAGGACCAGCAGCCCGACGTACCTACGGCAAATCAGGACACTCCCCCTTGATACCCAACAACCAAGAGGCTAACGCCTCCCGATGGAACCGGCCTTCCAGGGGCCCGTCAGCGGGCCTACCTCCCCAGCGTGCACGTTATGTCCAATTTTGCTCTATGACAGACACGTTGCCTTACGCTCGTTGCTACCTCCCGACACCTCATCTCGGCATTATTCGTGAACCAAGCAGTACGCATTCACCGATACGATCAGCAGCAACACTTCTGGACGTACCATCTCCAGACCCTCCTCTGACTGCAGCAGCAGGGGGCTCCTACGGGTCGAACCAGCGACGACTACGTCAGGAACAGCTATGCTATGCAGTGGGCTCCCGAGGGGAGTTCTTACCCACATAGATATGCTAGATCATCCGATGTGTCACGCACAGTCTCGGCATACGTCAACGGCAACAAAAGAATCTATGCTTATTATCAGTGCGTCCCCTAGGGGCATTCTCACCCACAAGCTATGCTGCCGCAACCGACGTGAATGTTGAGAGATGGCCTCCACCAACCTCCAACCTGGCTCTCTTCTCGAGCCCGTTCCCCCTGCTTCATCTCGCGAGCCTTACTTTACCCCCACTCCTGTGGCGGCGGGATCGGTGGGGTAATTTATCAGGGCGGTGAGGGCAGGATCTCACCGCATGCCATCTCGGCAAGGTCCAGAGCGGCGGCGGCAACAACCAACAGCGTTTCGTATTTGGAAGACCGTCGCAATATCCCGCCCGTACACTTTCACCTCCAACCCCCACCCTTGATGTGCAGCCGCGACTTCGGTCGCCTGCCTACACAAATAGATGTGGGTCGGGTTTGGGTTTAAGTGTGATAGGGGACGGCATGCCACACTAACAGCCACCGTGCCGCCGCCACGGAGGCAGAAACCTTTCCCAAGCACGGTGGATATCCCCTAAGTGGCTCCCATCTCCGCGGTCTGGGTGCCCTACTCCTGCTTGCAAGGGAGGGTGCCAGTCGCGGGGATGGGGGTCTTTTCGGGGGACTTCCTGTGTGCAGGGGGCCAGGCCTGTCCGCCTTCCCACGTGGCGGGTGTGGCCGGCCCGCCGCCGGCAGCGAGTGGCGCCCGCAATCGCGGGGATGGCCGAAATCTCCCTCGTGCTGGGTGGAAACCTTCAGGGCGGCCCCGAGGTCAAATTGCTGGGAACCCCACGCCTGCGTGCAGGCGAGGGATCCCGCCTCTGGCCTCGGGGACGCTCTGGAGGACCCCTATGAGCAGAGGGAGGGGACCTTGGGCCATCTGACTCGGCGAGCGCGGCTGGGGCAAGCAACCGCCACCTGCGCTTTTGCGAGCAGCCGCCACGCCGGCCTCTCGCCAGCATTTACAGCTTCGGCTTGGCCGACGACTAGCTCAGGCAGCCACACTTGACTCAGCGCTGCTTCCCCAGCAACCGCCACGGGAACGCCTGCCAGCCCGCGCCCTCGGCACCGGAAGAGTAGTAGGGCGCCTCAAAGAAGGTGGGCCCTTGGGCACCCCCTAAGGCGCTGGCCCAACAGGGCCAGTAGACAGTAGACCCGATGGAGGGGGGTACCCCGCCAAGGCCCGCGGGCCTTTCAACCTTCTCAACCTGCTGCCGCCACCAGCGCCTCCCCAGCTACTTGTCCTACCTCTTCGTTTCTTGTTGATGATGTCGATGCGATGCCTCTCCTGTCTCCCCCTTCCCCTTGTCTGTCAGCTTTAAAATGTCGTCTTACTTTTATAGTCGATCCCCCCCCCCAGGGCTGACTCTTGGCAAGCCCGGGGGGAAGCGGCAGCGCGCGGAGCATTCCAATGCCATCGGGAAATCAGGAAATCACGGGAAATCGCATGATGGAATGATGAAATGCGTACAGTGCGGAAATCAGGAATCCCGGTCGGCCTAGGCCCGCAGACCTGGGCTTGGCACAGGAAGCCCCACGCAGCAAATCCATCGCGCGGCGGGCGCGCGGGGGTGACCCGCGGGGCGGCGCGCGCGGCGGCGCGGCCCACCACGCAGCCCGAGCCGCTTCGCTCTGACGCAAGCGCCGCAGATAATCGGGCGAACTTGATGACCTCCGCATCCTGGGCCTCCTCGTTCCATGTGTTCCTCCCGTCCTCCTCTCTCTCTCATTCTCTTTCTCCTTCCTTCTGGACCTCCTCGACATCGTTGACCTCGGGCAGCCAGTGCCTCTCGGGAACGCGGCACACACGGCGTGCAGCGCGTACTGGGAACACCAGCAGAGGTCCCGTGCTGGCCAGGCCAGCGCAGCGCTATCTTGATGAGGAGCACCTCGCACCGGGCACCGATCACGACGGCATCGAGCTGCTGCGGGGGCGGCGAGATTTTCAGTCGGCGGGCGCGAGGGAGTCGAGGCTGGCGCAGGCGCCGGTCGGGCTACGGGCGGGACGCGCCAGCAACGAATTAAGGCTCAGAAAGCGGAGGGGAACGCGGGAAAGGCAAAAGAGGCGTGAACCGTTCAGAACGGAAGTCCACCGCGGGCGTGCCGAAGGAGTGCAGGGGGCGGCAAGACATTCAGCATTCGAAGAAGACAAATCTGCATAAACATACATTTTCGAAGCTCCTTGCGGATTTCGTAGAGCGCTCCGCGCGCCAGGGAGGGGGGCTCAGCGCAGATCCGAGAAACCCGCACGGACCGTCGACTGTTTATTATGTTGATGCCGTTTCTTGGCGTCGCTCGGACGTGTGCATCTTCGTCGGCGAGGACCATTGAGGAGAATCTGGAGTCATCTGGCGGAAAACCAAACGCACGGCACGAACAAGTGCGCGGGGAGTGGATGCCGAGCGATGGCAAGTTTTTTGCTTCTTCTTCTTCCGAGCACGGCGAGCGCCACGAGGCCACGAGCACGCTGAGCGGCGTCGGCATCGCCGGGAAGCCCTAGGCCACGAACAGCTCGAGGCGCGGCCGCAGGCGTCCGGGGGACGACGGCCACGAAGCACGGGTCTGCCTCGTTCTCGTTTGTGTTTTTGTTGGCATCGTTCGGACGTGTGCATTTGTTCCTCACCGCGGACCATCCAGGAGCATTGTGGATCACCGTGCGAACACACAAACGCGCGAGACCGAAAAATGTACCGGGAAGGGACGTGCGAGCGATAACAAGCTCGTGCCCTCACCGGGGGGGCCCAGAGGACCAGGTCCCGGGACAAGCTGGCGATCCCCTCCAGCACCAGTTCGACGGTGGCATTCACAGACCAGCACGCACATGGTGCCCTTCCTGATCACGGCCAACTACGATGGTTGCGATCGTGAAGACGGATCATCGTCGCGGCCGTCTTCAGCACCTGTCGCGACTGGTTTGTGTCGCGACCAGTCTGCGTCGCGACCGGTTGTGACGAAAATGATTGTGAAGGCCTGACGGCCAGTGCCGCTGTGCCGCCGACCCTGGAAGACATCGACGACGACCAGGAGGGGAGGAGGATGAGAGGGAAGAGGAGGAGGAGGAGGAGGAGGAGGAGGAGGAGGAGGAGGAGGCGGAGATAAGGAGGAGGAGGAGGAGGAGGAGGAGGAGGAGGAGGAGGAGGAAAAGGACTCCCCCCGTGGCCCCCCCTCTGGGGAGGAGTACCGGAGGAGGAGGACCGTCGGGGGAGCGGGGAGTGGAGGGGGAGGGGGACCCCCAGGGACGGATGCGTATCTGATTCCCCTCCCCCCCCTGGAACTCCTCCCCACCTGGGGAGGAGGACCCGAGGAGGACCGGCGCGCCGGAAAAGGACCGACGTGGGAGAGGAGGACCCCCAGAGGCGATGTGAATTTGACCCCCCCCTCCCCGGGACCTCCCCCCCGCCCAGGGAAGGGACAAAGGAAAGGGGCTTCCCTTTGACGTAAGGAGGACGTGGATGGACTTCCCCGAACGAGGAAGGGTGCTCTGTCTCTCTCTTTCTCTTTCTCTCTCTCTCTCTCTTTCTCTCACCCGACGGGAGAGGAGGATGGGAAAGAGGTGACGAAAGAAGGCTCCCCGTCGACGGGACCTAACAAACCCTACACACACACACACGCCGACAGGGTCGCCGGATTTTCGTGGCGACCGGCTTCATCACCAGCTGCAGCAATGCCCATGGCAGCCAATGGAGAATGGCTGCGCCAGCGCCTC